TGATGGTTTCAACGGTATATCATGCTACATTTTTTAAATGACATTATTGTGGCAGAGCTGGTTTTTCAGTGGTTGCTCTGATATGAAGCTAAGTAGCGTCTAATATCAGAGAAGGCAATGGCACCCCACTCCAGTACCCTTGCCTGGAAAATCCTGTGGACGGAGGAGCCTGGTAGGCTGCAGTCCATGGGGTCGCCAAGAGTCGGACATGACTGAATTTCTTCACTTTCACTTTTCACCTTCACTCATTGGGGAAGGAAATGGCAGCCCACTCCAGTGTTCTTCCCTGGAGAATCCCAGGGACAGGGGAGCCTGATGGGCTACTGCCTATGGGCAGAGTTGGACACGACGGAAGTGACTTAGCAGCAGCAGCAGCAGTGTGTAATATGATTCCAAGATTTGCAAAGTTGTGCTGTGCACATTACTGTCTCATTAGTAAGTCATTGGGGAGCCTGATGGGCTACTGCCTATGGGGTCGCACAGAGTTGGACACGACGGAAGTGACTTAGCAGCAGCAGCAGCAGTGTGTAATATGATTCCAAGATTTGCAAAGTTGTACTGTGCACATTACTGTCTCATTAGTAAGTCATTGGGGCTATTTAAGAATGAAATACAAACTTTTTTTCCTTTCAATTTTTATGTATCACTTTTTAAAAATAGCAACTGGAGTTGTTAAGACATAAATACTTATTAAATTGTTAGCACTTAACTACCTAATAAACCTTAATGTTAGGTTCTTCTTTTGGTCTAGAGGTGCCAGGAAAAATAATTTCTGAGATGCTAAAGTGTTCTGTGAACTGAGTAAGTTTGGGACTCTCTGGTGCATTCCAGGCAGCAAAAGTAACAGGTGTAAAGGTGGGAGGCAGGAATAGGCTTACACATATCAGCTCGACCCTGTAAACTTCCATTTCTTTTTCCCTTTAGTGACAGTATTTTCCAATTAGATTGGTGTTTGAATAACCTAGGCCCTAAATGGTGTGTGTATGGTTTACTGGTGTATGTGCATGGTTTATGTATGTTACTTGCTTTCTAAAAAAAATGATTCTGTGTTATTTTCTGAAAATTCTTAATCACTACATACATTAAAAAATTTTTAGATATAATGTTCTCTTTATTACTGGCCTTGCAGTCTAAACTCTAAAAATTTTTTTTCTTTCTTTAAAATTTCATGCTTGAAGATGTCTTGATCAGACCTAGTATTGGGGAGACTTAAGTTTGGTATCTAAGACTGTGATGATCCCTGTTTTAGAATGAACAATTAATAACAGAAAGATAAGGTAAAGAGCCCACCTAGAAGGGGCATGGCTTTGGGTCCAGTGATGAAAAACTTTTCTAGGGGAGGTCTGAGATGAGAAGCAGCACATTTCAATATATCCAGAGAACCTCATTTTCTTGTTTATGTACTCAACCTTGGTCAAATCATACACTTTTTTTTGGATACATTTTGAAATGTCAACATCAATTTCCTTTCTTGTGATTGGAGTGCTTTTGACCTATGCCGGCAGATTCCACTTTTTAGAGTCAAGGTAACTGAGAAGTTGAATGAATAATTATAAAGTTGCTTAGTAACCATTGAAAAACAAAAAGGAAAATAAGTTGTTTAAAAAGATAACTGCTATTTTAAGTAATTTCTCAGAAGGCCACCCCACAACAAGAATTCATTTGCCTTATGCCGGAATAATTCCTTATTTGGAATTATGCTTCTCAGATGTAGGTTTCTCTCTTTCAGTCTTAAATTCAAGTGAATGTTCAATGATCTTTTTTAATTTACCTTATTTTCCTTTATATAGTAGCCCATCTTTGTTGATAGACTCTTTAAACATGCAGATACACACCTGGTTGGTACAGATGGCTTTCTTGTTAGCCTGGGAGACAGTCAGCCTCCTGTTGGTATGTATTTATTTAATCAGGCAAAACTAAAAATTCTAGCTAAGGTCACTCAACTCTGAGAGATTATCACTGTTTTTTTTTTTAAAAAATGTATCTTTCCTTAAATCTTATATCTGTAGCTATTTTCTCTTTTTCTGTAAATGGCAGCATGCTCAGTACTCTGAACCCTGGTTATTCTTTTTAGTTATATTTTTGAGATTGTTTTTTATCAATACCTCATCAGTTTGCCTTATTCCTCTTAATGGTCGCAGAGAATGCTATTATTTGGATGAATGATAATTTAGGTAATTAGTCCTATACTAGCAAACATTTCAGTTATTTTTAGTATTAAATTTTTAGTGTATACTTTCAAGGATATCAGAGAGCAAATTCTTAGAAGCATAATTGCTAGGTTAATTAGGCTGGTGTTTCAAATATTGATGGGTATTTCCAATTCCCCTCAGAAAGACTATACCAACAATTTGAGAAGGTGTTGGTTTTCTTACCCCATCAACCAATATATCATCTATTTTCAAATTGTTTACTCTAAAAATGGCATCTTATTATAGTTTAAAATTGAGTTTATTTTTACTTTTAATTTAAAAGTTTTAAAATGAAAGCATAACTGATTTACAATGTTGCACCAATCTCTTTGCTATGAAGAGAAGTTATTCAGCTATACACATATAGACAGTCTTTTTTCCTTTCCATTATGGTTTATCACTGGATATTGAATATAGTTCCCTGGGCTATACAGTAGTAACTTGTGTTTATCCATCTTATATATAACAGCTTACATCTGCTAATCCCACACTCCCAGTCCTTCCCTTCATCACCTCCTTCCCTTTGGCAACCACAAGTCTGTTCTCTATGTCTGTGAATTTGTTTCCGTTTTGTAGATAAGTTCATCTGTGCCCTATTTTAGATTCTGCATATAAGTGATATCATACAGTATTTATTTTTTTCTGACTTACTTCACTTAGTGTGATAATCACCAGTTGCATCCATGTTGCTGTAAATGGCATTATTTTGTTCTTTTTTATTGTGTGTATGTACCATATCTTTTTGATCCATTCATCTGTCAATGGACACTTGGGTTGTTTACATGTAGTTAGCTAGGCTAATGTGAGTGATGGGAGGAGTTTGGAAAAGGAGGCGGTGGACCCGTACATGCAAAGGTGGGAGCAGAGAGAGCGTCAGCGATGGCTAAGGTGGAGTTCAGACTGGCACTATCTGGGCACAGTGGATGGGGAGTGGGCAGGGCTGGCACGCCACCCTCTAGCATGGCCTTGAAAATCAGTGAAGGGGTTGTTTGAATTTGGTCCTAATGACAATAGGATGTAATTGGAAGACTTTTAGGTAGAGGATAACATAACAGAAGTACCTGGGGGGTTGAGCTAGAGAATTGTTTAGAGGAGGTATGGAGAGCAGTTAGGAAGCTGTCTAGTAATTCAGATAAGATGATGTTTTCTCAGTGTTAGCCATACACCAGATAGTCACGGATCTTATTTAACATGTCTGTTGAAGCACCTACTATGCCTCAGTCTCCTTTAATGATGGGGCATGCTACATGGGGTGAGGCGGGGTGGAGGGGGGAGCGAAGACCTATAACCAGGCAGTCTGGGTATAATAATTCCTGGTTCTGCCCATGTCTAGTTGCATAAGCCTGAGCAATGGGGTAGGTACTCACATTCGAGGGTTACTGTGAAAAGTACAGAAATAGGCAAATGAAGGGCTTGGCACAATATTTGTCATGAAAATGAGGGCTTAATAACCACTAGCTGTTTTTTTAAATTATTTTATTATTATTACCTTCCCTTATGCCACTATGGAAAAGCCCTGACCCTTGACTTATTATAATGTACATATGAAGAGATACAGAATGTGGCACTTGAGAGAGATTTGAGAAATCTTATTCGATCTAATTCTAGTCATGAGAAATAAAGAGAAAAAAGAATCCAGCAACTTGCTTGGGGTCGTGCCCTGAAATTCGACGCTGGTCTAGTTCTCTCATGGCCCGTCTGTGTTTTGGTTACCCCACTTAGCCTTAGGTATGCATCTTCCCCGTGTTTATTGACAGCAGTGATTCTTGTGTGGAAATCCCTAATTTGGAAAACTGTCACACACTTCGTAGCACATCATTCAAACCTCATAGAGTTTCTGATAATTTTTAGAAACAAAAACAAGAGACCGCTGGGCGATTAAATCTGCAGAGGCTGCAAGCTTGGCTTTGCTCGGCAGCAGGGTCCGGAGGGGTTGGAAGCCCCTCTTCCGGCGGCCGATCCTCTCCTCCCCGCTCTGCCGCCCGCGGCAGCACCCAGCGCTCGGTCCTCACTCTGCCTCCTGGTTCTCTCGGTGTTCCTACTTCGCTGAGTGGCCTGTGATCCGATTCGGTCTATGAACAGCTCTTCAGGAAGATCTTTCTATGTGTAAGGAAGGCTCTAGGCTGGGGGATTTAGGGATGAGGGGATCCCAGCCCATGTCCTGAGAGAGGAGGCAGGATTTTCGCCTGCATGTTAAACTTACCTCCTCCTCATCCCTAATTTACCCTGCGCACGAATTCTCTCCCAGGTTCGCACAGACCACGCGCGCGTTGCATTCCCCACAAGGTTTCCCGCGTAGGACGGCTTCTGCCGGGCTCCGCCGTGCAGGGTCGGGCAGCGGCGGTGGGGAGAATGCCGTCCCGGACAGCGGACGACAGGCATGGGGACGGGGACCAAGGTGGGCGCTAGCGCTCCCGGGCCGGCAGCCCGGGCAGGGTACCCCTCCCTTCCTGGTCTCCGTTTCCTCGTGTAATAACCAGGGCGCGGCACGGCGTCCTCCGAGTTTCCCTTCGGAGCTCTCCTCTCCTGCTGCCCCTGTCTGCGCGCCCAGCCGGGCAGCTCCTCACCCCCTCCCCCCTCAGCCCCCCGCCCTCTGTCCATGTCTCCGGCCACCCGACGCCTCAGCGCGGAGTTCAGGTGCGGCCGTGGCAGGTGCTCCGGATTTCGGAAAAGGCCAGAGGGGCGGGAGGGCGCGGGTGTGCAGCGGGGAGGGTGAGGGGAGGTGGAGGGAGGTGGCCTCTGATTGGTCGGGGAGGGGGAGTGGAGGCACGGAGTTTCCCACAATGCCCCGGTGCGGGGCCGCCGCGGATGGATGCTGCGGGAAGGGGCTGCCATTTGCCGCCCCTGCCAGCGGCGCGCGGACCTGCTTGCTCTCCTGCGGTGGCAGCAGCCGTCAGCGCCGACCGCCGGCCCGGCCTCTGCAGCGGCGGCGCCTCGGCTCCCTCTGCGGCCGCCGGAGCGGTCGCCATGAACCCCAGCTCCTCGGCGGGAGAGGAGAAGGGGGCGACGGGCGGCAGCAGCAGCAGCGGAAGCGGCGCCGGGAGCTGCTGCCTGGGCGCCGAGGGCGGCGCGGACCCGAGGGGCGCGGGGGCAGCGGCGGCCGCTGTCCTGGAAGAGCCCGGGGCCGCCGGCCCGAAAGAGAAGGACGAGGCACTGGAGGAGAAGCTGCGGAACTTAACTTTCCGGAAGCAGGTCTCTTACAGGTAGGCGCGCGAGCCTGGGGAACCGGGAGGCAGGTGCCTCTGCGGGGCGCGAGACCGGCTCTACGCCCTCGGAGAGGCGCTTCTTCGGACTGGGGGCATCTCTCGCGCGCGCTCTTTCTGCCTCTGTCTCTGCTTCTTCCTCCCCGTTCTGGGCTGTGTGTTCACTTCCCATCCCATCTTTCTGGGCTGGAGGGAAGCTACGTCTGCCAGGTTTCTCTCCGGAACTGGAGAGAAGACTGGTTCCCTGAGGTCAGAACAACAATAAAAATGCGTCTGTGTGTGTGTGTGGGGGGGG